TACAATGTAGACGGGCTTGGGGGACAGTAAGGAGGGCAGAATTTGAAGAGCGGAGGTTGCAAGGGAGTAGGGCAATAATAGTTCAGACAGGTACTGAGGTGCCAAGCCATGCAGAGGTGTCCAGCCATATAACCTACACCTTCCATAGCTGGCTTAACTCGCAGAGTTATCATGAGCTGTTACCAAACTGCGGCTGAACAGGACTGGGGAAAAAACCCTTTTCCCCAACAACCGATGCAGCACAAACCACAGCTCTTCCCCCGGCTCGGAGAAGGTACAGAGCGCTGGGCCTAACCAATACACAGCACGTTTTCCGTTTGTATCAGAAACTGCTGCTGGCTGGTAAAAAAAAAAACTACAAACGTTAAATGAGCCGTGCCTTTTCCAAACCAGTGACAACTATCCCCTAGAATCCTACTTTTACACAGGTGAGCGTCGAGCTTAGTTCTAAATATAATTCCCGTAAGCTTAACTAAGAAGAAGGTTATGAAACAGAAGCATAAATGTAACAGAAAGACTAGAATTATTTGATTCAGTTTGGTCACGCTTTAAATGCACACCACTTCTACAGCCATTGGTGTTATCTCTGTCGTGAGTGACTTCAGCAGTGTGGTAAACAGCCTATGAATAACATCTCTCGTTTCATGACGTACAACAGTAAAGAATACCATTAGGCCCTGGAGATTTGTTTATATCTAGAGCTGCTAAAAGTGGCAACACTCCTGCCTCACCTGTGCTTCTGTACTTACACCATTTAATACAGACCTTGTGACTTGGCTCTGCCTCTACATGTTATCAATCGTCTCCTTGGTAAACACTGGTGTGACATATTCATTTAACACATCAGCCAGTCCCTTTTATCGGACAGAAAACTTTCAGTTTCTATGTCTGGCACATGGCTTCACCCTTTAGAGTCCATTCACTGTTGCAAAACCAAAAACAACTATTTTTTCGTCCACAGCAATCTTCTTTTTGATCACTTCGGCTTCCCAGAATCTTTAAAACGCTGCCATCCCTTCTGTATCGATTCATATCCAGCTTAATTCTTTTCTACAGCCTTTGTAAAGTTTGGTTTTGGATTCTACCAAACACAGAATTTAGAGAACAAATTCACTGTTTTAAAGATTAATTTTTACATTCATCTTTAAAAGGAACCACTTCAGTGTGACAGATGACTGGGAAATTGAAAAATATCAACACAAGGTAGATTTCCATTGTCTGCTGTACACCGTGTAGGAATAAGAAGAACATTCTAATTAAGAAGATTAATTCTTTGTAAGAATTATATTATTATTAAGATCATTCTCATTAAGAAGACAAATAGATTAAGAATATCCACACCTAAAGAAGGCTTCACAGCCAAAACACTGTTTTCTCTCTTCTCTTTTCAGCATGGAATAAACCTATTACTTGTTCCTTTGCAGATTACGCATGCTGACGCAGCTGCCCAACTGAACTATAAGAACATGACTGACGTTGCCCACTATTTAAAATGAGTGCGCAATGTGTACTTTCTGGAAAATGATCTAGAGAAAGCTGCAAGATAGACAGAGCAGACAAACATGCAAGTATAAAACCCTTCACACTGAATTGAGCAGCAACAGGGAACAGGGAGAATTTCTCTGACCTTGATCCTGCACACAGTCGGCGCTGATCTGCCGGATGGTTCCATTCAGTTTGAACTCCACGGGCTTGTTTCTGACGCTAAGCCTAGGACCGCCATCTTCCTGGAACTCCAGCACCACCTTGTGGAAATCTGTGGCATTGCAGTTAAGGCGCCGAGGCAGGCTGGGAGAACCGAGAGCTCAAAGCGTTCCAGTAAGTGTTCTGACTAAGGACTGAAATAAATCCAGGGCATAAAAGTCATTTTTAAGTGGACAATTCTTCTGGTCCCTCACTGACTCTCATCCAATACTGCCACTTTCTTTCAAAAAGTGCATTTTTGAGGCGTAATGTCCCGGTATGAAGAACGTTTTTTAAATCCCACAGGTGTGAATCTTCAGCTCTGGTGTAAATCCCTCCAACATCACTGTTTTTTTTTTTTGCTGTCTGGGGATGCAGCTGCTAAGCCCTGCAGAGCAGCATTAGTTAACTCTCAGGAGAAAGTCAACACTTTTACACAACAGCGCGCAAGATCGAACAAAACTAAACATTCACAGTATGTCGTGAACTGTACTTGCACAGAAAAAAAAAAAACATTCCCATTGGGTGATTAAGTGCAGTCTGGTGTCCTGTTTTGTTTTTCTCTCAGCGAGACACGTTACTTCTTTAAAACTCCTTTGCCACACAAACGCTTCCAAGAAGAGGTTACTACCTCCTCCAACTTTCAGAAGAGGCAGATAAGTTTGGCAGACGTGAAAGAGGATACAAAGATGGTTCAGGGCAGCCTTTCTGGGATACACAAGGTAGCCTTGCTGGGAGGCGTCCGTCTCTTCGAATGGAATGTACCCCATAGCGCCCCCGGTGGCCGCCTCCTGGAACAGCTCTCTGTCACTCTGCATCATCAGTTCCTCATGGAGGAGCTCTCCCAGCAGAGCAGGAGGGATGTCATAGATCACATCATCAAACAGGTAGCTGTAGGACCTCGCTCTCTTCTGGACATAGGTTAATGGACACCTGCAAAATAACAACACGCGTTTTAATCTCTTGAGCCTTTTAAGGTAAGCGCAAAATAGCTTCAGATGTCAGGTACAGTATATCTTACCCTAATTTTGCATTAGGCTTTGGAAATGCCTATTTAAACAGAGGGACTGTGCATCTTTTTTTCCTAATAACTTCACAAGTTTTTTCTTAATCAATGCAAGATAGTTTAGAAATTAAAGGCTAGGGGTTGCAGCATGAATATTGTACCCCAGGACTCAAAGATGCCTGATTAATTCGTACATTTATTTTCTAATCTCTCACAGAGGATAAAGTGTTAAGGAAATCAGCTTTCAAAAGCTGGTGAAGCTGTGGGATCAGTTCAGAAAAAAAGCAACTAGACATTTTCCAGGACTTAAGAGAATATCCTACACAGACAGGCTTAAATACTGAATTGTTTAGTATCAAACAGAGAAGACTACGAGGTGATGGGATTCAACATTGACAACGACCTTTTGCTTCAAAATTCACAAGCTATCACGTTTTTGAAACGGATAACCTGACGTCTGCCAGGAAACAGCCAGATAGGATTCTCCGCTCACAAAAAAAACGTGCAAGAAGACCCAAGTGACCTTCTGTCGATTAATTCTTTTGAATCGCTGCGGACCTTGAAGGCATGGAAAAACATTACACTGCATGTTAAGAAAGTAACCCCTCAACACAAACATTTATTTCAAAATTTAACCCACTAAAGCCATTAAACAAGTTTAACTATGGCTTCCGTTTCTTTCAGATCAAACGGTGGTCTCTAAAACAGCCTATTCAATACTTAAAAGAGTTAAAACTGCTATTCGGGAAACACGTCATCTTGTCTTAGAAAACACAATTCACAGGTCCAAGATAAATATTATCTAAATCTACAGTAAGATTTGTTTTCACTAGTGCATATAACAGTATCTTATGATGCTGTATCCAGCAATGCACAAGTTAAAAGATAAAAGAAAGGCCACTAAATTGAGCTCAGACACTCAAATTCAACTCAAGCAGACCACTCACAGGTATTGGATGGTCTTCTGCTCATTCCAATGTGCTTTTACAGCACTCCGCTAGCAATCCTGGTTTAAAGCATAGCTGCGCCAGCCTGTCTAGCTACAATCCAGCAGGAAACCGATCCAGCTGTGCCTGGAATACACCTCCAGGAGACCTCGAAAAACACTTCTACACCTCAGACTTAACAGCACTCGACAGGTCTGATTGAGCCCGTAGAGGGAGAAACTCAAACATTAAGCGCCCGACTGCTCTCCGCTCCTTGTTGTGTTAAACTGGAAGCAGCACGCATGTTTCAGTAAGAACAAAAATAAAAAAAACCTGTGGCACAACTGCAATCAAGAGCTGAGACTTGGACGTAAGAGTATGCCACACTTCGTTTGTCCTATACTGCTTCATCTTTATTACAGGAATGATCTGATGCAGTTGTCAAATCACCTGCAGATTCAGCAATAACTACGATGATACAGCTGGAGCACAGAAGACCTAATATGCACATGAGAAGACAAACCGGATGTGGCACCTAATGATCCCCAGTTAACTTACAACTGTGTGTTCTGCCAACTGATCAGACCAATTCAAAGCACAAGGAATTATTTCAGTTCAGATTTAAGATTCTAAATCTAAATGGAAATAAAATATACTTTGGGGAACCAGCTGTTACCACCAACTGCCAGACCATTTCTACATTTTAATGCAAATAAAACGTACTTTCGGTAACCAACATTTTCTATAAAGTCCATCATTGTCCTCATGCTCCTGGTGTTCTCCTTCACACTTCCCTGAAATACAACGAAAAACAAACCTCAGGTTACAATTACCCATTTGTTCCTCAACCATCGCAACCAACACCACATCAGATGAGAGCAGATATGGGTGTATTTGCACAGCTTTAAGAGACAAACAAATTCTTACAGAAGTCCTACTAGTCACTACTTTGCTCTGGCATCAATCACATAGCCTGAGAACCCTCCCAGTGAGCTAAACTGGTTAATGTTAAGTATGTCATACAATGTTGACCACATTCACTAAATACCAAGTAAAAAGTCTAAAAAAAGTGGTTCACTTAATGATACAATATGAGAAATTGACTGGGTGGCTTAAGAACAGGCACATATACAGATGCTTGTCAGCACAGACAAGTAAAGTGCACCAGGGAAGTTGTGCTTGTTGACTTTTGTGGATTTTAAAGGACTCAAACAAATTGTGTTAGGAGTTCATGGGAGCTACAAAGACCTGCTATTTAACTGTCAATAAACTCTCTAACAAGTAACTGAATTAAAATGTTAAAAATCACACAAGTGACCATCACAGTCAGTTGTAAATGACATCAAACTGTTATATATATTTTAGATTGCCAATGTCTGGGTATTTTGTTTTTCTAAAAACATGGAAAAGAGAGTGACAATTCTCTTTTGTTCACAATTTGATCATGATTATTTGCAGTGTGAAATACCTATCATGAATTGCTTTTAAAAACACTTCCCTAACCTAGATACCTGGAAACAATGGTAGAATTCAGTGTTGCACCGAATCATTCTTAAAAGATTTATGTATACTTTAATTCTCCTGGGTGGATCCTGGAATACAGCTTTGTAGATTACGAAAGACAGCTTGTTAGCTGCATATAGCAAGCTTTTTAGCTGTAAACTGGTCTTCCTTGTGCTTAAACAATTATGCTTCCTCACTGTAATTGTATTAAATCACATTATACATGAGTATAGTCAAATGGCTAAGAGGACATTCCAATTGTACAAGACACATCTTCCTGACAAATCACAATGAGATAGCAAGCAAGACAAAATATCAAAAGAAAGGTCTTGTTGAAGTAATATAAAGCTAAGCGCCAACCCACAGATAATCAGACTTGATTCAAATTTTATGCTGGAAGTGCAGCAAAAACGTTGAAAATGAAGATCAAAAAACAAACTTAATGTGATGTTTTTTGTATTTTTTGCCGCCATTTTACAGCACAAAACATTCAAAATACACACACAATAGTATAGAATCACACTGAAGCCAACTGTAAATAATGAGGCCTAGACTTCAGAGCTACACCAACAGGACCAGAACTGAACTAACTGAACAAGATTTGTTCTAAAAAAGCAACTAGGCAACAACCATGGTTTCAATGCACTGAAAGACAGCGTTGCGCTTTACAAAACCCCACCAATATAGCTTCCCATACCTGTAGATTACCGTAACCAAAATAGAAGTGTTCATCTAACAGACGGCTCATAGTCCCAAAGGCATCTTGATGGTTATCCAGGTAGAAATTCCGCAACTTCAAGAAATGACAGAAATAAAGCTTTTAAGACATAAATAAAAAACAACACCAACTCTTTCAACCCCAGAATATGAACCATAGTTTCACAGTATACATTCAGTATCTACAATCATACAAACTCTATTTTAACATAACTCGGGGTACCGTACTCTTACAATGTTCAATCTGAATCAGTTAGTGCTATACAATCAGAATTGACTAGTATTTGCTTGAATCTAGAAGAGTTACTTCTCAAGCACTCAAGAGGATTAAAACTATATTGGACAGGTTCAAACTGTAAGTGTAACACCAACACATTGTTCAAAAACAAAGGCACAAATGAGATGCCAGGTTATTCTCTGGGCACCCATTTACTAACATTTACATTTTTCCGTGGTGAGGTTTTCCTGAAGCCTCGTGTCCGTAAGCAGGAACCAACATGCCTTTCAACTCAATTCACTTCCAAACTCTCAGAGAATCACAAGATGTTAAAATAACTTGCAACACCACTTACATGTTCTGGGAAGTCTAAGGCATGAGAGTTAGCTGATGAGGGAATCTTGCAATCTGAAGAGAGGGGAAAAAAGTGATTAGAACAGATAAATACTACACATATGTAAATCCACCCCCTCCCGATGTTTTTTCCTTGTCTATGGTTTTTTTTATTGCGTAATCTTGTAAATTGTTACTGTATGAATGTATTGTATTCTTCTTGTAACCTTCTAGCAAATTCTGTCTTCTCTTACTTCCAGAATCTATATTTCTCCGTTTTTTATTCCTCTTTAGGTTTTGCTGATATTTACCGTAACTCTTTTTCACCCTTAAAATTCTTCATTTTGAGCCATTCAGGTTTGGAATAAAATGAAGAAGTTAAAAAAAGTGTGCACATCATTTTGTTATTTCACAAGTGGCATGACAAAGGAAGGGTCTGAGTACTTCTAGAGGGGGGGGCCTGTAACTGGATCGGATTACCAACAACTGTGCTTGAACGGAAGACCACCGATTGTGCGCCCACTGGAGACAGGAAATACCGCCTGCAGCATGGTCCGAAGCAAAGTATCGATCAATCAATCAAGGTTTATTTATCAATGCACGAACAGTACAGCATACAGCGGTGTTGTTGGGAATGAAATCCTTTATCCACGAGATCATTAAGAGGGGGGTAGAAGAAAGAAATTTATAAGGATTAGGTTAAAGATTAGGATACGATAAATGACACTAGGCCAGTTACCTGAATTCGGGGGCAGCAAGGGACATACAATGGGCTCTGTCGGCCTCCATTCCTCTCCTTTTACTTTGTGTTGGGCTTCTATCTTGATCTTACCCTCTAGGCCAGCATTCTGGAAACACCAGGCAAAGTTAAAAAAAAAATAATTATAACAACAACAACAACAACAACATCACTTTATTAACCTTTTACAATTTCTTGCATTACATCTTTTCGCATAGCCCAGCTTGCTCTCCATGAGACACACGGACAGGGAGAGAAGCTGGGGGTCAGAGCGCAGGGACTGCCATTGTACAGAGCCCCTGGAGCAGTTGGGGTGAAGGGCCTCGCTCAGGGGCCCAACGGAGTAAGATTCCCCTGCCGGCTGCGGGATTTGAACCCGCAACCTTCCAGGCAAAGGCGCAGATCCTTAGCCACAGAGCCACCGCTCCGCCCCAAAAAAAGATTGCTGAAAGAATTGGAGTTCAAACTCCGCAGACACACTGCCAAAACTAATGCTCTGGGCTCTTACTTAACTCTGAGGGGACCCGAGACAGGTATTCAAAATCCTCAAAAAGGCACCAAACCCTACAAGACTTGTTGAAAATCAGCCTTGCCAGACGAAAACAGAAAACAAAAAGACTGCGGGAGTACGGAACCAGTTTGTCGGCCACGTTGTTGAAGACGAGCCCGTCGCTGCCTTTAAGACACTACTGGTTGACATCCTGATCAATGAGTTAAGTTACGAAACGATGTACCGTCGGCCTCCCGTCATTTGAAATCTTCCCAACACCGTCATGAAATACCACTTTTGTATCGCGTATATAGATAACCGAATGGATCAAATTACTAACTTTATTCTAGGTCAGGCAAAACAGTTTTTTTTTTCCCAGCCAGCGAGCTGGCAGATATTGCAACATAAGGTTTTGCATGATCTTATTGCAAAATATTTGCAAAATAAGGCGATACATCCCATTCTGCTCAAGCAAGCACTTAGGCGAGCATGCAGGGTGAAACGACACCCCACCAAAACAAGACGATTCTTTGTGCATTTGCATGTGCAAAAACGATCCGAGGCTCTTAAGCGGCAGGTTCCTGCGCAGGAGCTGCTGACGATCTGCGAGCGCAGGAGCTGAAGTACTCACCTCCGGCACAAGACGGTCCACTCCCCGGATCTGGCCGTAGACCCCCCAGCCGCCTACAACCGGCAGGACGCCAGCGGTCCTGCCCGGAGGCCCGGTGTTGTAGGCCTGGGGGAAAAGCATCGGGGGAAACGCACTGTCCGTACGCCCGGCCATGTCTGGGCTCGACCCATGTGTCAAACCGGCCCCGTTTAACCCCAGCACTGGGCAACGAGGCGAGCGCGTCTCCCTTCCGCTCCGCGCTGCGCTGCACGACCAGGTACAAACCTGACGGGGTTTTTGGTGTTGGTTGGTTGGTTGTTAAATTAATTTCCCGACACCATCAGTCCGAAACAAGAACGCGTACGCGCCACACGTGTTCCTGTAAACGAAAGGCTCCGAAAACGGAAGCCAACGCGGCAGGAGGAGTCTGTTTTGACGCCAAACTGGGGGGACTGGGGGGTGGAGAGAGGAAAGAGTGAGCCCTTCCCCTGGATGAGACCGGTAACCAATCGGAGGAGAAGGAGCTCGCCAAGGCCCTTCAGGCTTAGTGGGAAAGGGGGACGCCACTACATTCAAATTCAAACAGCTTTATTGTCATGACCGCAGTGTTACAGTGGTGCCAAAGCGCACACGGCGAATACAAAGGTCTACAGACATTTACACAACACAAATACATCTTGGGACATGTACAGCCAACACATAGAACTGACTAAAACCGTTTCCATCACTAACCGGTACGTCGGTTACCGGCTGTTGCCAAATTTGGAAAAAAAAACAGCGATTATTGTCAAGGCAAATAACCCTGGCCTCTGCGAAACTTGAGCCGGCAAGAGTCCAGTGCAAAAAAAAAAAACTTTCATTAAACCCGGTTTCAGGCGTACTGTAGGTGCGCCACCACATTTGGGAGTCTGGGGTTTAAACGTAGCCTAAGGTGTAAATTAAACGTCAATCCTTTTTACTAAATTGTTTTTTTTTCTTCTTTTTCGTTTGGTCGTGGAGTAAAGAGTATCAGCGGAGAACTGTTTTATTTGATCAACGACAGCTGTCCATTTGTTTAATGTTGGCGATTTGTCTCGATGCGTTCCACCAGCTGGTAGTTTTTTAATTAGTTTTTCTTAGGTCATCTATTCTACAGTATAATCGTAATTTGCACTGTCGGTCCATCAATGTGATCGGCAAACCTTGCCAATGAAGACCCAATTCGAAGAAAATGCAAATAGCAACTTTCAAAGAGGGGTCTCTGCAGGTGACGGGGTGGATTGAAATTATTTTTTTTTAAAAAAAGATATAGACGCTTCTTTATTGAGAAAAAATAATCATATACAACTATTTTATTCCCTGCCCCTGATTGATAATTAAGCGTGAAGGTCAATTCAGTAAAAGTCTATTGGTCGGTTTACACAATGATGTATTTCGGTGTCAGGGCACTTTTAAAATGCCGTTTTGTCTCACAGTGTCCGGGGAATATGGGGCCAGTCGCTGCCCTAGTCTAGAGGGAGGAGGCGCGACTGTACCGGCGGAGAGGAGAGGAATTTAACGGAGAGAGAGGCACCAGCTGTGGAGCACAGGGCACCACTTTCAGGGCTCACACATTTCAGACACGCTGCTCCGGCTTCAGCCAGCAGCACGAGAAACTGGGGGCTCCCTTGGCGGCGGTGTGGGAGGGGACCCGGCTGCTGAGCCCTCAGGTGTGGGGCTGCACTGAGACCACCCGCAGGACCCCAGAGCGAGATGGAAACTCCACTCAAGGCGGGCGACGGCTCTCTGACATGGGATTGGGAGGAAGGGGGCAGATAGTAACACAAACAGGTTGTCCCATCGAGTCACGTGTTCTGACGCTCCTGCCGAAGGCGGATGGGCGAGGGGACTCCTGTTCAGGAGACAGGAAACAGAAACTAGCTCTAGGGGTGCCTTGTAAATGGATGACCCTGTGCTCTGACCCCCAGCTTCTCTCCCTCTCCGTGTGTGCATGCGAAAAGACAAATTCCTAATACCAGAAATTGTATATGGCCAATAAAGTGATCTTATCTTATCTCTTCTCTCCCTCAGAGTTTCTACGCCCAGTGAAAGGATAGAGGGATAAATAAAAACATGTTTTTTTTTTTTTGCTGTAGTCCTTCCTGTTATGTATTACTCCTGTTATGTTTATTACTCCTTCAGTAATAAAGGTGGCACACCTGTGCCTGTGTTTTACCAAGGTCTGTGCTCTTATGCCCTGAATGTATGGGTTCTGTTTCATTATTATTCAATGGTGCACATATCTACTTGAAGCATATACTGTAGAACAATAAATAACCATTCACTGAATGGAGAGTCACAGGGTTTAATAAAATAATCTTTAAATGTTCCAAAGAATCATCAATTGATGTGAGCAGGAGACTCACATGTTCTTTAAATCAATCCACCTTTTAAGTGAATGAGAAAGATAGGAGGATTGATAATACTGTTTGTAACAAATTTGTGACAAGTTTGTAACAGTATTATCAAGCCCTCCTTTTCTTTGTAAGGTACTTTAGAATCGTAATATTGATTTAAAATATGGTGACACACAAGCTGCCACAGATCTATGAAGTTAAGCATCTAGCTGGGTCAGTAGTGGGATAAAAGGTTGCTGCTGTAAGTGGCGATGTTGGACCAGTAGGTGGCACTCTTTCCAAGCCGGACCCCAGTATGAATGGTACATAAATCCAAAGTCCTGACTACTTGGTCACTAAGGCTCTTAATGATAGAGAAAAGATACTAATCCTGGTGTTCAGGCCACATTACACACTGGGCGTGTTCAATCTGGCCTTTCTAAAGTTGCCTTGCTGGCTTCAGTCAATTGCTGAAGCATTTCTTCACTAACGGATCTGCTGTGTACTGGCTCATGTAGACTGCTGCCTGTCCCCTACATCAGTGCTGTGTTACATTGGTACATGAAGTGGATCTCATTCAATGTCTAGTTGTGAGATCCTCAGGGATTAAAAAACATGCCATATACTGTAAATGCAAGGAATTGTTATTATTTTACCTTAAACATGAGAATGTATGTGTGGTTACAAAAGAGAGGAGACCAGGTGACCCATCTAACCTATTTGGTAGCTAGAAGTTAATTGAGCCAAGGAACTTGTTAAGACATTTCTTAAAAGTAACCAAGGTATATCAGCTTCAACACCATGGCTGGGTAACCTGTTCCATAACTACACAACCTTTAATTGTCTTAATTAATTGTATACAAGCTTCTCCTTCCTATACAGGGAACTCAATATCCCAGCTCCCAAAAAAGTAACCTTTTTCAGACTGAAAGTCACCCAGAACAGCAGAATGTACATGTGACCACATAACAATTTGTAATTTAGGAAGCATATGTTGTTATACACTTACCGACAAATGCAAAATCAAACAACCTACAACTGGGAGCTCAGCAGGAGCAAGTGAATTCATGATTCTGAGGATTATCTTTGGCTATAAAGCTGCATAAAATAAAATAAAAAATGATCAATGGGGACCAATAGCAGATCATAAGGGGAAAACGCTGCGTTCTTCGGTTATGCTCCACCTGTTACTAAAACAAACGTAAAATAATCTAGCAAGTCACTAAATTAAGAGGGACAGATTCAAAAAGGAGGGACGAAATTAATACTATGCGCAGTGTAAAAAAAATCGAAACACTTTGCATTTTTAAAGATGACCTCTACTTGTCAAAGACATATACGAATATTATGTCTCGTATCCGTGCAAACCCTGTTTTGTTACGTCCTAATTTCACTTCATGCAAATGCTGTCCCAATTTGGCTATGAATGGGATGATAGAGCCCTATCTCACCTTTACCTGCCCAGCCACGTGACCGTAACTCTTCCTTTTCTACCGGTTAGAAAGAAATGTTTGTGTTCGCCCAGGACTAAAATGTCTCAAGTCGTTTGCTCCTAATTCGAAAGGTTTACCACACAACAAAAACCCGGCCGACCCGTTTATCTAGTTTCTGAACAAGGTAGCCATTATTACGCTTGCGAAAGGGAGTGAGCCGAAACCTGCGCTTAGCTTGTGACGGGGAAACGACTTGCTCGTTAACATGGTTCAACGGGCTGAAAGGCGAAAAGAAGCGTAAAAAAAGAAGAAGAAAAGAAACAAACTACCGAAATATAAAGGAATTTGGTAAGTGTTTTTTTCAAGTCTCGTTTTAATCGCATCCCTGCGCTCATGATTGCTCTTCAGGTTGGCTCTTACCTGAGAGTTTGAGTTAAGCGTGTTTCCCTCAACGTATGTAGGCGTTTTCTATCGCATGATTTTAGAAGTTTTGAGCAGTTTTACAACTTGCGATATAACTCATAAAAAAAAACTAAAGTCTTGGGAATATATTAATATTTTGCATACAACGTCCTTACATTCCGCTTGCATGATATCTAAAGAGACTGAATTGACGTCGGAAAGTTTTAATGATTCAAAAAAAGTTTTTTGTTTTAAAAAACCCATTAGAGCTGATATTCCCACTTGTTAACGTAAACACTTAGTATTCTTTTTATTGAGAAGTAAATACGCGAGATTATGGCTTCTCACTTTGTAAGCACATCGTTTTACCTGGATGTTTGACTAAGTCAGTGATCGCTGGAAATAAGTAGAATTTAGAAATTCTTTTAGTCTGGATGTGTATATATATTAACTTATGATGTGAAAAAATGGTAGCTCTCTGTGCTGTTGGATTTCATTTGCTTCATAGCGATATTAATTAGCTCGTGCAATCCTTTTTTCATACTGTAAAGATGTTTATGATCGGTATGGTAAATGAACCCTCCCCTTTACTTGCGGAGAAATTGAAAAAATTGTATTTTTTTAGCTGATCTACTGGATGTCAGGGGCTGACTGGGGAAATATTTCACCGTTAGAACAGATGTAAGCCACTATTGTTAACAACGCGAAGGTTATTGCGGAGGAGTGGAGAACAGTTGGTAAAACCTTCTTTATTGATGGGCGTAATAACGAGCCTTCGTGGGTGATCTCTGAGATTCAGAATTCACGGTTATTTGACATCGGTTGTTTTCCAGTTTGGAGGCTGAGGAAAAGGTTTATGTCAGACTCAGTCGGGACGACACGCCTATCAAATCGTGATTGGATGAAACGCCAATCAGAATCTTGTTTTTATTAGTCCTACTACTCTAGGAGTGGAAATTTACTGCACTTGGGTGTAATATAGAGCTTTATTTAACATCACCAGTATTGGCTGTATAAATTATCTTGAATTGTTCAGCCCTTTGTATTCACTCTCCCCGCTACTTAGATGTTATAACTGATACGTCGTCGTCGTATTATTGTAGAACGCCCCGTTCATCACAGGTGTTTAACGCAGTATTTAACGCTGTTTTCTGATGTAATTACTTGAACTTCTTAATTTGGATACCGCATTAACCCTTTTGGATCCCTTCTGTCGCTGATAAAGAGTGCTGGTTCAGGCTTGCCCTGAATCAATGTATCTTGAAATATGACTAGTTTATTGATGATGTTGAGGTCGGTGTCGTTTCTGGAGAAAAAAAGCTTGAAAATCAGAAATATCAGCATCTCAACCACTGAGCCCTGCGCTACCTCACTCCTGGCTGAAACGTCTCCTTTTATAAGTAGTTTTTTATTGATGCGAGTTGTTACTAAATATCTTCGTATTATTGTAGAAATTGTGAATCAGAAACGGCAAGACAGTAAATAAAATGCTTCAATTGTTAACATATACTGTATATATGGAATGCCGATCCATAGTAGTATTTGCCATTACTAAGAAAATAATCTGAGGTCGAGACAACACTGCGTGAGGACCTGTAATTCTGCTTTTTTGTTTGTAAGGCAGTTTCTCGTTAGTAAATCCTTTATTGACTGTTTTCTATAATACTGTTCCCAAGTAGGAAACCCTCCATCTCGGCTCTGAACATTCAGTTTAATTGTACAGATAAATAGAAGCCTACAGGGTTTGTAATTAACTCCAGACGTTTTACTCTCTAGTCCTGTAAATGCTAGTTTCTTTACTGGACATTTCCCATAACGATGCTATGGGACGGTCTGTGATCCAATATAGGATGTCATCAAAGACATTTTCGTATTTATTTGATGAATTTCACTTTTTCCTTCAGTATTCTATGTGGTGAATTAAAAAAAAAAACATCTGGAAGTATTTTTACCCTTAATGGTAGTGTTTTGAATGTTCATTTTTTGAGGGAAGCGGGTGTAATTCTGCGATTCTGCTTTTTACTGATCTGATGTTTTCAATAGTTAAGTAGGCGTTTCTTATGTAAGTTAAATACTTAAGTAAAGTATAGATACTAAGATTATTCTGATGCTACTCACGTTTTGAGAATAACATGTTGATAAGATCATCATTGCAAAATAGTTTGCCATGTGTTGTAAAAAGAACAATACTTTCTATGATTAGGCTGTAGTGTAAGAGTGTTCAAGTTTTTTTTACCTATATTTAAGGATCACCTTTCTTTAAAAACAACTTGAAGAACACATCGTCTACTTCTTCGTGTTGGAATCCAAAAAACGAATGATCTCAAACAAATGTTACTGGAGCTGTTCAGGAATGCTTTAGGTATTGCACTTGTCTGTGTCTTCAGCTCTATTTAAGTGGATGTCTTGTTCATGTTACTGACAGAAAGTAGGATATGGTGACAAACTTTCAAGAGACCAGCACTGTTTTATCGATTCTTAATCAATGTCCTTCGAGAAATGTATCAAATTATTTACTGTTACTATGGCAGCTAACCTATGAGTCTCATATTCTAGTTGATAACATTTTTTTTCCCATTGTGTCCTACAGTAAAAAAAAAATACCTTGGTAAAAAAGAATGTCGTTTTTATCTAAATCTTGTATTTTTAACAGACTACAGAGCCCCAATTTGGTTAGTGGGGCATTCAATACTAGAAAATACATATATTCTAGTTTTAGCATTTAAAGTGCTAAAAATCCAATTAGTAAGAAATGCCTTTGGTACATCCAAGTATTTTCTCTTCAGATCATGTTAACGAGTGCTTGAATGTGAGGATGTAATGAACTGATGCATTATTAACAATTATCATGCTTTGTCTTCAGATGAGTAATTGAGCAGACAATTTAACAATAGGCTGGATGGGGTGACTTCTAAACCTGCAACTGCAGTTCCTTTGAATCTGAAGAGTATCAAAATGATCCTTCCAATAAAATGTTGGTCCAATGCAATTTGCTCCAGATTTTCTGAGAAAGAAAAAAGATAAAGTTTCGGCCGTGGAGCCTTCTTCAGGTGACACGGCCGAAACATTGTGTTTTTTCTCTCTTCTTTTTTTCAGCATGGAATAACCATTTAGAAGAATTATCCGGTTGGCCTGTTGGGTAGTTTAGAGGTTAAATAATTAGGTTTAAGAATCTTTTTCAGACAAGGTATAGGCTTCAGCCAAGTGGCTGGGTAGCTTGTTCCATACAGCCACCACCCTGCTTTGCATTCAAGAGCATAGGAGCAGACTGGAAAAATGAAAATGTACTGAGATACACCGATAACACTTCACCGGTTTCAGTTCACATTGGTTATATTTTTATAATTCTGTGTAGTTATGAACAGAGGCAAAGGTAGTGCACATTCTGCAAGGAAATCTCCCTGTATATGCTACCTTCACTTTTGTTGTATAGTATCCTTTATAGAAGGTGTTAAGTATAGATGTCTGACCTTAGTTCTGATCATCTCATAGTGCTATGAAGGTAGATTTCAATGACGGTGGTGTTAAGTTAAGACCAATATAAAGTTAAAAGCATTCCAGTAAAACTCAGTTGCTCACTGTCCAGTGATCTTAAGACTGAATACCATGCTAACAAAGTTCATGACAGTTTCAGAAGTGCTAGAAATGGCAGTCATGTCACAAATACAGAGTATCCAGTTACTACTTTGTGCTGTCATCCATCCATTTTCTAACCACTTCTTCCAATTCATGGTCATGGGGCTTATCCTGACCAGCAATGGGCACAAGGTTGGGTACAACCTGGACTGTACGCTAGTCCATTGCAGAGCACACACGGACAAAAAAACTAGGGCCGATTTTCCCAGAAGGCAATTAAACTACCAGCATGTTTTTGGACTGTGGGAGGAAACCTACATGAACACGGGGAGAACATACTAACTCCACGCAGGAACTGAACGCAGGGAACACCCCAGGAACTGAACTCGGGGCCACAGCCCTGTGAGGCAGAAGTGCTGCCCACTGCACCACCATGCCAACCTCCTTCATAACACCATATCACAAAGTCACTGTGTCTCATGTCGGGTTACCTGCAGGGACACGTTTTTACAAAGGTTGCTGATACAGAAAGATTGCTCATTGTTTAACATTTGGAACGAAAGTGTAATATATGCTCTTAAAATGTTTACAACTTCCCTTACATTGGAAATAACGCATAAGAACTTTTAAATAGAACAGAAATCAGCCTGTTTTAGCACTGAGAGGGGTGGGTAGATGAATTGGTTTTAAAAAGAATTCATTGTGTATTGCAGTACAACCCAGAAGCAGTTTTTATAATTATCTGGTGGTGCATCACATATAGCTGAATGTAAAGCTGAATTTGCATTAAAATTAATATCATAAAATGTACTAATAAGCCGGCCAATTCATTTAGCTTTTAATAGCTGATAGATCCAGGGATCTCGTCCACTTTTATATACAGTGTAGGGTGCTGATAATTAGTCTCTGTACTACTGAAGGGCCACTGTGTGGGTCCATCTCTTCATCTCATTTTAACTGTTAGATTTGCTTGTGGAAAACCTACCCAGAAAAACAGACTGAAGATGAAGGGATGGATCAATCTAGCAAAAAATACACTTTCATTTTCGTCTGCAAGCAGTGATGGAAATGGTAGATAGCAGTTTGCTGTTATAGGTCATCTTGCTCTGCCAATAAGTTATACATCCAGAAAGCAATACATGGATCTTTCTAAGAAATGTCATATTAAAAAGTAATTAACAAATCATTCTTAGAATAATACAATTTCTAATTATTAATCAATAGTTTAAAAGACTATTTTATCTCAGTGTTTTTCCAGTTTGCTTGTTTTGTTTGGGGATTTTTTTTATTTCTAATTTTCCAGTTTATCCATTCACTCTTCTTAAGCAGATGTGTTTCTAGCAAATGGTGGACAGGTGGCTGCTTGCCCT